AGAACTCCATATGTACATAACTCTGCAGAAGACTTCACTCATGGAAACACTGGGTTGGCTCCAGTGGAAAAGATTTCCATTGGCAGAATGAGACTTTCTCATCTTGCTGCAGCCCAAAAGGCTCTCTCAAATGCTGCTCATGGGGAACAGAGATCCCTGAAGAAAAACTTGAGGGGTGTGTCTGCAGGGGATGGAACGATTTGGCAAAAAGCTTCCACTGGAAATCTACTACTGGATCCAGTTCATTATGTATTCTGGCAAATGCATGTGGTAGAAAACCTTGAGACATTTTATAGCCATTTAGAATATTGTCGTCCTTCAGAATAGTTACCTTTAAAAGCCCTCTGTGAAAAAATGTCAGCCCTTTGTAAAGCACAGTTACAGGTTGGTTTTTGTTCAGCTCAAGGGAATTCTGGAAGTCTTCATAGGCTGTTGCATAGTCCTATTGGACAAACACAACTTCCATCAGACACAGAAATCTGCTTGGTCTGGATTATAAAATTTATACAAATTACCTTGCAATTACATAAAACTTTCCTCTCCATAAAACTGGTGTCTGGAAATTGCTAAGGGTATCAGTTATTCATTGTACTTCTAAACAGAAGAGAAGAAGAGACTGGATTTATACCCCACCCTTCACACGGAGTCTCAGAGTGACTTACAAACTCCTTTCTCCTCCCCTCCCCACAACAGACACCCAGTGAACTAGGTGGGGCTGAGAGAGCTCTCCTGAGAACTGCCCTTGAGAGAACAGCTCTGAAAGAATTTGTAACTGACCCAAGGTCACACCAGCAGCTGCATATGGAGGAGTGGGGAATCAAACCTGGTTCTCCCAGATTAGAGTCTGCGCACTTAACCAGTACACCAAACTGGCTCTCAGCAGTAGCAGTACCTTGAAATTAACTGAGATGGTGCCCTATGAAAATGCTGAAATTATATTTGTATCACATCTCTGAAATACTGATTTCTCTCAAATACTCCATTACTTATATAACATGCACTACTTCTTCACACCCTTACTTTATAAACATTTAGCAGCTAATATTCTCCCAAAGATAACCAACTCATTTCTCAGGCAGCCTCCCAGCAACTTTTTGTGAGTTAGCCTCAGTGCAGGAGATGGGGAATTTCAAAAGAAGTGATGCCTTGCAAGCCCCAAAAGATATTAGCATGAAGCTTAGCTTCCAGTTCATTAGCATGAAGCTTAGCTTCCAGTTCACTTTCAGAGGTTGTCTTTGAGAATAAACACCTATCAAGGAACTCCCATTGTCTAGTTAACAACTAACCTCAGACATGAAGTAAAGAGTACCTCTATGCCGGTAGAGTCGTGCTGAAGGTTTTAGTTGAATAGCTTTAGTGAGATCAGCCAGTGCTTCACTAATTTGACCCAAAGGTGACAGTATCTGTAAATCCAAGGGAACACTTTAGCCTAGCAAGAACACACAAGTAATCCTTTATTTCTCAACATTTTTAATTTTCAATACGAAATACTAATAAGCAAACTGAGAATTTGTGTGCAATATTTACACTGAACAAGGGCATTGTTGTGTAGAGAAGAAATTGTATGCTAAAATTCATTGGGCGCATGCTCCCATATTCATTACATAAGCCAGTGGAGGAATGTGAATGCCAGGTATCAGATTATATTTAGTGTTGATTTTAGGACTTTGTGGGAATGTTTAGTGTACTTCAACATGTGGTCTAACTAAATTTAGTTTGCAAACTGCCCTGGAAGTTTTTTGAACCAAAAGGCAGGTTACAGCTGAAGTAAACACACAAAATAAAGCTATGTTTGGGACTATATTGAAACAGTATATTTCTTTCTTGTCAAAGAGTTGGCAACCCATCTGCAGAATTTATAAAAGTTATAACCTTAAATAAAACATCACACACATACAGGCTCACACTTTGGAAGATGGGACCCTTAACAAGTTTATATTATACCTTCAATTACACAATACTCCTAATTAAACAGGATTCAGGAATTCAAAATATTATTCTTTAATCTATCAATGGCTATATATCTGTGTACATCATATCAAGTTTTTTACAAATATTGCCAAGTATATGTTCCTTCTTTCAATTATGCAGCCTTTTAAAAAATGGAGGCCTATTGTTTTGACAAGTATTTAGAAGAACTCTAGCAAGAGGGAAAAAGAACCGTCTAAGGTACTGAAATCCAGAATCCTTTTAAAAGAAAAAGAACACAGTTACCTCTGCTCGCTGTTCAAATACTTCTGGGTGATCTGGTGCCAGGCTAATTACTCTGCTCAGCTCAAACAAAGCACGCTCTGCATTTTTTACATCCTTAAAAATGGAAAATATAAGCAGCAATAAATTTAAGCGCATTTCAATCCTTACAGCAAACTATAGTAAGATTGTCTGAATGCAAGTCACTCCACTAAATATGATTAAGGTTCATAAAGCCAGGATGCAAAGTTGGTTTATTAACCACAGTTAGTCTTAACAATGGCTTTGCATGATCTCTGAATTTAGACAATTAGGGTTAACCCTGTTTTAATCCTGGCTTGTTCTCTGGCAATGCCCTCCCAGGCTACAATTAAAGTAGCGTTTGTGACGGCAAACCAGGATTTGACAGATGCCTGTGAGCTGAATCTTGTTTTCACAAACAAACCATAGTTAAAATAAACGATTGTTTTGTTTTAAGCAGTGTTTTTGTTAAAAAAAAATGCCAATACTCACTATGGAGGCCTGCTGGGAAGGTGACAGGAATGCTAATGTATTACATCGCACTTGCTGATGACAACATCATTGTGTGTGACAGAGTATATCATCTGCCCTACCACCTTCTTTCTCTGTTGTCTCACCTGCTGCCTTTTCCACCAGCTTCTTTTGCAAAGAGGCCCACCAGAAAGAGGCACTGGTTTGCCATGCTAGTGCATACTGGCACACGAAAAGCCCTGCTTTTAAGTCTGAACCAAGCCGATAAATATTTATATTGTTAGGCCAACCATTTCAGATTGTACAGTATACAAAGTACTTCAAACCAATCATTTACATAATATTATGAAGTGTCCAAAGAGAATGAACTGCTTTATATCACAAATATTAGCAAAACAAACTGTTTGCATAAATATGGGAAAAGCAAATTAATTCCTTTTCCAACATTCATCCTTAATATTTGGAGATCTGAGTACTCCAGTGTGGTTCCTTCATCTGACACTTGTGTTGATTTCAAAATTCAGTGCTGTCATGGCTCTATAAATATTATCAGCATTATAAGCTGCGTGAAGGCTATGACTATCTTTGTCTGCAGCACAACAGGCATGTATTGAGTCTAGCCAGGTGCCGCATAAAGCTGATTCCTAGCCAACAAACTACATAAACAGAGGTGTAATGTTGAATTTATTTGTCCAGGTTACATGAGAGTCAGTTGCAGAGAATCTGCTTTGTATGCAGAAGGTGCTAAGCTCAATCCCCACCACCTCCAGTTAAAAGGATCTAAGAGTAGGAGACAGGAAAGACTGCAACCTGAAACCATAGAAAGCTGTTGCCAGTCTGGGTAGACCGCACTGAGACCAACAGACCAAGGGTCCAATTCAGTATAAGGTAGCTTCATGTGATCAACACACACCACTCACAAATTATACCAGAGGTACAAAGCTAATGTTGCTCCATGCCTCTTTTCTCATCTTCCTCATAATATCATATGCATTATCTGTGACATGACATGCTGTGTACTGTTCTATGTTGCCTCACATCATTGATCAGCAGCCACCGGACACAGTGCATTGTGTTGATGTAGATGTTACGAGGAAGAGGGGCAAAGAGACACGCAGTTCCAGCTAGCATCTGCTTAAGCCTTTAGCATCAACTAGATGCAAGAACATAGTTGACTGAGCATTTCTCTTATTATGCAGTGTCTAACAAAATTCCAGAAAACAGTCTCGATACGGAGATATTTTTTTTTACTGACAAGAAGAAATTTGTGAAACAGAGATATTGAAATATGCTTGGTTTTTTCCTAGCAATAGTGTTCTTACTTTGACTGTAAGGTATTACTCAGGAATGCAAAGAGCATCATTCTCATACAAATCTGAGATGTATACCGTATACCAACAGCATTTTCCATTTCCCTTCAGACTCCTATCATACCAGCCTGTCAGTCAGCTATGAAAACATTCTTAAGAGACTGGCCAACTATCCTCCCCCTTGCCTGCTAACTCTTTCTTTATGCAGTCTGCATTTTAATACACTGATGGCTTTGAACTAACACTAAGACAAAGACTGGGAAATATGAACACTGTGAATTGACTGACTCAGTATATCTATGTTCACAAGCTGTACACATATTTGAATCTGATATAGCTTGAAGGGGAGAAACGATTACATTTTAGCAGTCTAACAATCTCTAGACACTTTTGCAGCTGTAAATACTTTACCATATTTAACATGTCAAACTAAATTCATGTGCCAGATTGTGCTCCCAATAAACCACTGGTGTCCCTCCAAAATGATACCTCCACGGCTCAAATGACTCCCCCCCACCCCGGAACAGCACTGGGGCCCTGGAGTGCAAAGGGGTGCTCAGTAAAAAATCTCCAACTTTCCACTGGCAGAGATGCCATCCTGCTAGTTTAAAGGCTTTAAGGTACAACACATTTTTTTTATATAATAAAGAAAATTTGAAACTAAAGAGCACTGATCCAGAACGTTAGTTTTCCTTCCTAATGAGATTGAATCCATGTCCGGATTGCCCATAATTCAATCAAAACAGCTCACATGTTTCCCAGTTTTTGTCAAGGATCTTTAAGAAGAAGAACAAGAGTCACAATATGCCAAATTCTATATCATATCTCTGTATGGTGAAGCTATGTATACATGGAGCTCAGAAAAGCCTTGTGCAATTGCCCAGGCATTTTTGTTGTTGTTGTTCAGTCGCACAGTCGAGTCCGACTCTTTGCGACCCCATGGATCATCTCCTGCCAGGCCTTCCTGTCTTCCGCCGTCCTCTGAAGTTGGCTCAATTTCATGTTCGTCGCATCTATGACACTGTCTAACCATCTCATCCTTTGCCGTCCCCGTCTTCTTTGACCTTCAATCTTTCCCAGCATCAGGGTCTTCTCCAGTGAGTGCTCCCTTCTCATTTGATGGCCAAAGTATTTGAGCTTCAGTTTCATTATCTGGCCTTCCAGGGAACAGTCAGGGTTGATTTCTTTTAGGATTGACTGATTTGATCTTCTTGCAGTCCAAGGGACTCTCAAGAGTCTTCTCCAGCACCACAGTTCAAAAGAATCTATTCTTCGGCGCTCGGTCTTCCTTATAGTCCAACTCTCTCAGCCATACATGACTACTGGGAATACTATCTAGTTTATTCAAATAAGGTATATCGTTACCATGGGCTGGATTGAAAGGAGCCCTTATGCAAATGGAAGGCACCTTCATTCCACAGATTTTGGATTCAACATGCTGCCTCCTGAATTGCATCGTATTATTCCCAATGGTCCTCTGACCTTCAAGAACAGGTTCTTTTTTGGTGGCGCAAGGGGCTGCAGTAGACAGAGGAAGCAGGAAAGACCTAATCCATTAGTGGAGTGCCACTCACATTACTTTAGATCCAGCCCCATGTATTTACAGGTATTCTTAATTCACAACACTATGCCAATTCAGCTCTATAAACTCCAGTTGGGAATACCTGTTAATCCACAAGACTACTCAAGTATTTAAAATTACCTACTCCAGAAGTCATAGCAATGAAGTACAAGAAGAGCTGAATTAATCAGCAACCGTGTTCATTTTTACTAATATATGGCTTTAGAATAAAACGTGCTGCATTATCTTCTGTTTAATATTCACAGCTATAATTCAGATAACTTGCCGTAACACTGACCAAAGCAATGTGATTGCTGAGAGGTGGAGTTATGAAACAGTAGCCCCAGTCCCTCACTAAGGTCATTATTTCTTCCTTGAATGCTTAAATCACCGCAAACAGATAAACAGTGGCGTTGTCAGTTTAGGGTTCCAAACAATTATTTCCCATCTACACTGAGCTACCTATCTTAATTTCAATACCAGTCTCAGCCATTTATGTGATGCACCCAAACAAAAAGGCTAAGTGTTCCAGTTCTTGCTACATATTTAATCTACTAATGCACGCATTATGCTAATGTGTAGTTTTATTACTGCGTCAATATTTAGTACACCCAATGTGTACTCCGTAAAGAGCAGCTCGGACTATCAGTATAACTACTGTGGTGAATTGTTTCAAAAATATAAAATACTCACATGCAATCCTTTCTTTCCGTATGCTATCCCCCTTCCATAAATTGCACTAATGAGCTCCGGCTGTTCCTGTTCAGAGCACAATACAATTAGAAGGTTCCAGTGCACACAGGCCATTAATAGCAAATGCTACGTTCTAGAATGCCTTCATTCCCAACACAAGCCAAGATCTAGGGAGGGGAATGCATATCTTCAACTTTGACACACATTTAAAAACCACTTGGGGGGGATTTGGTGTGGGAACAGCAAGATGGGAGAAACAGTTGAAATCGCCTCCATCTTTCTGCAGCTCCCTGGGCTTCATAACGGGATGCACATATGGACCCTGCCACCTCCAGCATCAGCTTTTCAGAGGTCTCAGGGGGTTGGTGGGGGCAAGAAAGATCCATGAGCAGTTTTGTGCGCCACTGGAGCTACGCCCTTGTATTTACTACCGTGAAAGTTATTGCTCGTTTCAGACCATGGTTTGTTGTGCTGTGTCTGCATACTTCATCTAGGATATTCACATATGCAAAAATATATTCTAAATCATTAACACACAGCAGTCTCTACTATGTAGGATGAGAAGTATCCAGTGTTCAGCTATAGGGAAAGTTTTCAAACTTAGGTACCTCTTAGTCCCTTTCATGACCAACCCAGACATGATGTTGCACACATCCTTCCTCAACTCCCCCCCCCACCAGCAGCCCAGCCATAAGTCTAAGAAGAATTGACAAAATTCCATGACCTGCTCTCCCCACCCTTGATTCCAGAGACTCTGACCACATGTGACTCTCTCTCCTTCTACCACACAACTTCTTAGGCTCAGGATGCAGAAATACTTCCAGTGACATCTGCCGTGGACTCCTGCCTCTCTTTTATACATGTGAAATCTGTCTACCAGCCATACCCTTTAAACTTTTGTTTCATGTCATGGATGATTATGAAGCAGCTTTTCCCTTCTGTTTTTGTTCCCCAGGAAGAAAGGTACCCTACACTGGGAAATTCCAATATGGAAGTTTATATAAAAAGGAGTATAAAGTTACCTGAAGCATTGTTGAGAAGTGACGTATAGCTTCATCATAGAGGCCACTACCAATCAATACATAAGCAACCGCTGCCAAAACAACATTAATGAATTTCAAGCTTCCATGAATTCCACATTTGCCAATCATATGAAGAGTTGCTGAACTCGCTTTGAAGAGCTGAAAGCAGTAACCTTTTAAAGTCTGCTTTCCAGAGGCCTTGGAGTAGCATTCATGGTTTTTCATGGCCCATTTTATTCTCACAACAACCCTCTGAAGTAGGTGAAGCTGAGAGAGAATGATCAGCCCAATGTTACCCATAGAGTTTATACATAGAATGGAGATTTTATTCTGGGTCTCCCAGTTTCTAGTCCAGTACTGACTACTGTTCTACAGCACACATTCCATTTTCTGCTCATGAGACAAAATACCTATCTAGAGGGCTCTGACCTACAGAAACATGGTAAAATACATTTATCTAATTATAATATTTCTGTTCCACCTTATCTCCTCAGACTCAATTTGTTAATCTAAGCTGCCACAAGGGTCTTTGTCAATTTAGCCAGAAAGCAAGCAATACTGGTTTTAAATTAAAAATTAAACTTGCAGTACAGACTATGGCAGGGGTGGCCAAACTGTGGCTAGGGAGCCACATGTGGCTCTTTCACACATATTATGTGGCTCCCGGCAGGGCAGCTGGGGAAGCAAAGAGGAGCCAGGCTTTCTCTCCCCTCCTCCCATTTTCTTTCTCTTTCTTTCTCTTTTTCTCTCTCTCTTTCTTTCTCTCTTTCTCTCTCTCCTTCTTTCTCTCTTTCTCTCTCTTTCTTTCTTTCTCTCCCCCTTCCTTCCTTCCTCTCTCTCTCTTCACCTCTCTCTCTCTTAGACAAATAAATATCATTAGCAAACAAGTATCATTGGAAAACTAAATATATCTGCTTTTACCCCTTTTGTTTTTATTTTTGACAGTCTCATTTAATGTTAATCAAAAGCAAATGTGCTTATTTTTAATAAAAATGTATGTAATATTTGTTCACATCCTGCAGCTCTCAGACACCTGATGTTTATTCTGTGTGCCTCTTACACTGAGCAAGTTTGGCCACCCCTGGACTATGGCATAGAGTGCCCTCCCCTCAAAGAGAACTAGAGGTTACTAGACAGCCAGAATTTAGTACTATGGTACTCTAACCAACATGGAGGAAAACTTCTATTTGCTATTTCCTCCTTTAAACTCTTCACATATAGCTCAGTTGCAAAAGATTATGGGTGTAATAAATTTTGGCACTGTCACAACCTGTTCTTCCAGAATCTAATAATGAAATATGAAATATGTGTGGTGCTTGATCCCTTGATGGGATATATTAGCAAGCCTCCTCCAGCTTCCCCAGGGTAAGTTACCCTAATGCTAAGACAGCCTCAACACAAACCCATGCCTTTGAAGGAATCTGAGAGCCATACAGGAAGCGAAACACACCAGCATAGTTCTAGAGATGATGTGTTTATCCTGCAAAATTCTAGAAGCCATTTCTAAACATGCACAAATATAACCACTCCTACAATCTATTTACATCCATCTTAAAGCAGAAGTTTTTAAAATGTACTGCTGAAATCAGTACACGTGCAGTAACCTAAAGTTTGTGAAAAGGAAACTGCTCAGGGGGATAATGTGGAAAAAGCAATGTCACTGTCCTGGAGAAATGAATCAGGAGTACACCCTTCAATGAGGTGTAATGAATAATCTATGCAGCCGCCAAATCACTTGCTCACAACTTTGATGCCGGTAGCTCACAAAGTAGTATTTTTGCTCACAGGACTCCACAGCTTAGAGGGAACATTGCTGGGGGGAGGGAGACTAGAAATACAGGTAGATTCACCTGTGCAGGTTTCAGTTTGTTTTTCACCAAGTGGGTAAATGTTTCTATTTTTTGTTAAAACATCTGAAGTGGCAGATAGGAATCCACCCTAACAGATTTCTGAGTAATGATGTGACACTATATCTATATATGTATATATACAATAAAGATGGAAAGCTAAAAGTACAGAAGCAACAAAAGGAATAATTTCTAAATGTCAAGATCCCGCAATCTAACTCTGTTCTGAAGGCAGTTGTTGCAGTAATTAAAAGTCACTTATTAATAAGTCATAATACACCCAATTTAGAAGAACTTGCAGTGCTTCTTGGGCACTGTAATCTACTTAAAGGCACTGATGACATGTAGTGTATCTTACCTAACTCTTCATTTATACTGTCATCATTCGTGGCAAAGGGAACTCTTTTTTGTTCAGCAAGCAATTTTGCTTGATTCTGTAAAACATTTAAGGAGTTAACTTGATAAATCCAAAATAACAATAAGTGTATGATCTAGCCAAAATTTATTTCAGTGACTTCAGGAGAGATGAAAATTTAACACTGTAATCCCAAACAGAGTTACACCTTTTTAAACCCACTGGCATCAGTGGGCTCTGTTTAGTATTGCAGCATAATTCTCCTACTGAATACATTCCATTAATATTAGTCTTCCTCTGACAGAACACACCTTTTTCGCTTGCGCCAGAGGAAGAATCATTGTACCAGAAGAAGAGTCGTCTGCTAGTGAGACAGACTCATAAAACCCAGACCACTGAGATTCACGGTACTTCCTCAGAGTTATGCCCCTCTAAGTCCACTGAAGTCAAATGGGCTTTGAAACAAATAACTCTGTCTAGGATTTCACTGACAAATGTTCAAAATTCTATCAAAAATTTAGTACTGGTGCCCTGACCTGGATAGCCAAGGCGAGCCCGATCTTGTCATATTTTGGAACTGACCCTGGCAAGGATTTGGATGAGAGACCACCAGAAAACACCAGGGCCAGAAGGCCAGAAGCAGGCTATCAAGCCACTTCTCTGAACCTCCTCTGTGCCCCAGTAGGAGTTGCCAGATGTCACCATGACTTCCAGACATGGGCACGCGCACACACAAAAATACCCCCCCCCCATTAGTGCTGGTAAAAGTATTTGGATTAAAAGTAAGGCAGCATTTTATTGAAAAAAAACAGCAGTCATTAGTATCATTATGACACACATTTTTATCCTACTCTTTGGCTCAGGGTGGCACACATTCTCCAATTTATTCTCAGAACAGCCCTATGAGGTAGTTTAGGCTGTTAGTGACTAACCTATGGGCACCAGTGTTCCCTCTAAGCTGAGTTAGTGTGAGCTAGCTCACACTTTTTTAGCCTCTGGCTCACACATTTTTGTCTTAGCTCAGGGAGGATGGCTCCAGAGCAAACTAATTTATGCAGTAGTCGAATCGCTTGCTCACATCTTTAATGCCAGTAGCTCACAAAGTAGAATTTTTGCTCACGAGACTCCACAGCTTAGAGGGAGCATAGATGGGCACCCAGCGAATATCAGAGCAGAACAAGGATTTAAACCAGGTTTTCGCAGTCCCTGACTGAGACTATGGCATGCCAACTCACTTGATAGAGTTTAAACAACATTCACAGTTCTAAATGTCTTTTTCTAACTCAATGTATGCAGTCTTTAAAGAACTGCAATCAATCAAATAAAAGATGCAACTTCCTCCTTATATTTGTATCAATATTTGGACATGAAAGACAGGCAAATTTCATCATCATCAGGCAAAATGATATCCTAAGTAACATAGCAAAATTGCTACTATACTGACAGCCCAGTAGCCCAGTATTGATTCACTAGCATTCACTAGTGGCTTGCACTCTGAAACTGAGATGTCCTTGCATCCTTGCTCTCACCAGAACCAAAATTGATCGTTGGACTTACTCAGGCTAGGCCTAATGCAAACGTTAGGTAAAATACAATAAATATATGCACACATTTCAAATTCAAAAGTTTATATCACAAAGGATGGAACTAAATACATTTTGAAAGTTAAGTAAAATATTAATAAGGCCACTACCAAGATTAGATCAGAACCTACTCAGCAAGGATAGTTTCAAGACTTGGTCACGATGTTTTAGGTAAACATACCAAAAGTTTTTCAGTATTTATTGAGAGCAGGGATTCACAAGCTGGAGACCCTTGTAGCTCACAGTCTGAGTCATGAAAGTTCAAAAAAGAAGCATCTAAAATGGAAACATTTCCATTATTAATCACATGCTCAATCTTAAAACAGTTACGCTGAAGCAGAATTTAAAATGTAGAAGAGAGTATTAATTATAGAATGTATGACATGGAAACATTTCCAGATTAATTGTTCAAACTCTGTCTCCTTAAATGTAAAACAATGGATTGGCTCTAAATGGAAACTAGCACTCAAGATGTTCAATTTCAATAGTCTAGACTTCTGGGAAAAGAGTGCATTGCTTTTGTGCTTTGTACCTAACACACAGCTTGCTCTAGATCACATTTGTGGGCACCTGTGCATTTTAAGACTAAATATAGTCCCTCCCACAACTGTGAACTGCCACCAACATTTACTTTTAAGTGGACAAGTACAAAAAGATTCAGTATCACTGGGCAGCTGTTTCATTCAAGCTAGATGTTTTGAACCCTAAAGTCCAAGTTTAAATCTCTGTAGAGAACTGGAAAAAAGGCCGTTATTATCCAAAATGAGGCAGAGTAACATTTAGCTGCAACAGCCCTGAAGTGTATGAAAAACCTGGATTTTTTTTATTTTATACACAATTACTAAAATACACTAAATTAGAGGTTTAAAGATATGTAAGGTGTTCGGATAAAGACATTTTGATGATAAAATTGAGGGTAGTTTTATGTGCAGCAGCAGTGATCTTTTAAGCTTTAACAGGAAGACCAAAAGGAAGTGTTTGTCTTCCCTCAATTTACCACCCCTTGAGTTACCATTTGGAAACCACCCTCCAGGCAGCATTTCTTACTGATGACCTCTGATGTGAGGGTGTGGGGCTTAGCAGCTGCAGTTTGATGAAAATAATTATCCTTTCCCCAGCCAGCGGTTTCTTCTGAGGACCAGCAAGGTAAGAGATTCAGGCAGCGCAGGAAGAACTGCTATGTGCAGGAAGAGGGGAGGGGGACAGCACAGTGCCCCCACAAAGAAGCCGTAAGTGGTATAACCCAGGAAAGATTTAATCGCTCAACGCTGTGTAAACGGAACCTATACACTCAACAGGAATCTCTCAAAGTTAGAAGACAGCAAGAGGACGCCAGGACAAGCCCTACTCAGTGCCCTTCAGCCATAGGCAATCAGGGTCAGTTGGCAGGATCAAGACTTTTTCCTGGAACGAAGCTGCGGGAGGGGGCGCTATTCCACGTCTAAACGTTGACCCGTATTTAAAACGACCCTGCATGCAGAAAGCTAGCATGCCCAGGAGAGTAGCTCAGCCTAGCTTCCCCCTTGACAGGGTCCTACGTGTCGGGTCGGGACTGGGGCTTTAACTTTATCCCATGCGGGAATATCCGAGCGCGCAACCCGACAGCAGCACCTCAGGAAACCGATTCCGTTGGGTGCATCGCCCTGCCCCCTAGCCAGGACTGTAAGGACGAAGCTGGATAGGCTCCTTCCTTTGTTTCTTCGCCCTTCCGTCACTCACCACAGTCGCCGGCAGCTGCCGCATACTGTTCCCCACCCCAGTCAGCCACCAAGGGCTCCGGGCAGCCTCTGAGCCCCTGACCCTGAGGGCGGTACCGCTCCTGCCAGAGCAAGGGCAACGTCGGGTACTGCTCAGTCAGGGCAAACGCCGGCCGAACTGCCGACACCAGCAGCAGCAGCAAAGCGAGACTTGGCCAAGAGCACCAAGAGGCGGTGGCAAGTGCCATCTTCCTAGCACGCCTGCGCAAAGTGATTGCCTCTTCTACGTCCCTCCCCTCTTCTTTGGTAACACTTAGGGCGGGGCGTGGGGAAACGGGCTGCATTCTGGGAGTTGTAGTACCAACGTCTGGGGTATTTGCGGCTCAGTTCGTGGCTGCTAAACTACAAACCCCAAACGGCTTTGCAGCTTCTCCTTCCCGCCTCTTTTAGTGGAACCCGGAAGAGAATGAGGCAAAATGGCAAGAAGGGACCAGTAACGTTTCTGTGGTAACGGGACTGTGGGGCTCTGTTCTAAGGAAGAAGATGGAAGCGCCTGGCGCCTACAGGTGCATCGAGTGCAATGGGAAGGCTACGGAGCTTTATAGAGACTATCAGCGCGGCGTGTTGCGCATCTCTATCTGTGTAAGTTGCGGGAGGACAAAGGATGGTCGAGGAGAAACAATGAGAAAGGGAATTGGCGAGGTAGAGGAATATAAGCGAACTTGTAGATGGTCTACCACGTTGTAAATATCACCCCCAAACTGTAGAATAAAGAGCTACAGAACAAAGATATGGAAGTGAGTATGCTTTCAGCCCCTCTCCCTGTTGTTATCTGTATATTGGCATTTTTAATTGGCTATTTATACCCGTTTTTCTCGCCAATGGGGCACCAAAGTCTTACAGCATTGGTTTCCCCCTTCATTTTTTCCATATCAACCCTGTAAGGTGGGGGGAGACTGAGACTAGCCCAAAATAACTCATAATTTGCGCAGCAGGGTCTGACTGCCAGATCCCAGTCCAATATTCTGATCACTACAGCACATTGTCATTTGGATTCCAGGGCAGAAATATAAAAGTCCTTGTGGAACTTCTCCCCCCTCAGGTATCTTGAACAGTGTTCCCTCTAAGCTGAGTTAGTGTGAGCTAACTCAGTTTTTTAGCCTCCAGCTCACACACTTAGCTCAGGAAGGATGGCTCCAAAACAAACTGATCTATGCATTAGCCAAATCGCTCACTCACAACTTTAATGCCAGTAGCTCACAAAGTAGAATTTTTGTTCACAAGACTCCACGGTTTAGAGGGAGCATTGATCTTGAGTACCATAATTTCAAGTTTTCCAGTCTTTTTTTTTTAAAAATCCTGGAGGTCAGATTTCAGATGGCTGTGGTTTCTCTGTTTAAGTTGTCTTGAGAATTTCTGGAGGGAATGAAACCCTAGAACTCAACTAAATAAAACAAGACATTGAATTTAAATGTTCCCTTAATCTAGAAACACCAGATGATTCTGAAATCTGAGAAAGCCCATTTGAGTCAAAGTTGTGGTGCTGTATCTTGCTATCAAAACAAAGTGACTTCAAGTTCATCAAGTGGGCTCTGCAAGCTATGGGATTTTCCTGAGACTTTTTCTTGTAATATTCTTGACTGTCAGGATTGTTTTCTTTTAATTATCTGAGCACACTTTTATCTAGTGCTCTGCTCTCTAAGGAGCTCAGAGTGGTGTATATGGTTCATTCTTCTTCCAGTTTGTCCTGACAACTTTGTGAGGTGGGTTAGGCTGTAAGTATGATTGATTCAAGGTCACAGTGAGTTGCAGAGTGAATGAGGATCTGGACCAGGATCTCCTTGGGTCTAGTAAAGGGGTCTCCAGCCTTTTTGAGCCCATAGGCATCTTTGAAATTCTGGCATAGAACTGTGGGCACAGGCATAAATTTCGCTGCTGCAGATTACTTTCATTCTCAGAGTGAAGATCCTCCTGCTGTGGTAGCAGCTGCTCCTATAGCAATGTTTTTTAAAATCTGCACAGCCAATCAGAAGCCTTGTTTAGCAAGTACACCATCTGGCCCCACCCACCATCTAAAAATACTTGGCGTGTGCCAGAAAAGGTATTAGCAGATACTGTGGCACCCATGGGCACCAGGGGGCTGGTCTGGTACTACTCTGGTCTCTGTGCTACACTGATTCTTCTAGTTGTTGAAACTAGCATTCACCCATGATCCTGATTTCTAGTTTTTATTTTTAAAGGCTAAGCAGAGATGAGTACTAGTTAGAGATGTATTTGAGTTGGAGAGTCTTCCCATTCCCTGTCACGTCTAGGTGAATAGATTGCCTAGAAGGTGGAGGGCATGTTCTGTTACAGCTTATAGGGATTCCCTCATACATAGGTATTGTGCCCACATGGAGAAGGATCATGCCCTATTAACTTATTATTCTGCTGTTATCATAGCTGTGACCATCAGAAACAGTAGGTTAGAAGTGTTTTAAAAACATACAGTATATTCTGGTCCTCTGAAGCATAGTGAATGCTTTATTCGAACACAGGTATCCAAAACCTTTTTCTAGGCCAGTGCATGGTATATAATTATCCTTCCCAATTTCTTGTCTTAATCGTTATCAAGAGTGCAAGGATGGTCTCTGTGTTCCTCTTAAAGTGCAATACCGTGCAATTTAAGCCAACTGAAGTTAGTGCTTTGGGACATGAAAGAGGCCAAATGAATTTGTTGAAGGCTGAAATAATTCTGCATTGGATTGTACTGCAAATTTCCTAAATCCAAATTTATCCTCACTTAATTGTTCTCGATTGTATTCCAGTCTTTCTTTGAATTATATTTGTTAGTATTTCTGAAGTGTGCCTTAATCATCTATATACTATTTCTCAAATGTGGCCCCCATCTACGGATATCTGAACTGCAGATCGGTGTCACACTGACTCTAAACAGATGTTTCTGTAAACTTGGAAGGTACCCCAGGTTTGCAGAAAAATCTGACATCCTTAAAAATGTATTGAGGGGTTTAAATCCCCCCCAGTACAAAAGTGTTGTCTGCGCACTTACCTTTCCCCCCCCCCAGCTTGTGGCGGTAGAAGCCAGTCTGCGCCTGGGAGCCTCTGCAGGCCTCACTGCATTGGTAGCACTGCCTGGAAGCCTTTGTGGGCCCGCCTGCATCAGCACCAGCACCCAGGAGCTCTCCAGGCCCGGTGGTGGTGCCCGGGAACCTCTGTGGGCCCAGAACAGCTCTCAGATGCTGCTGCAGCTGGGCCTGAAGCCGCATATGGCTTGGCAACAGGAGAGCCACCTCAGGCATGGAGCAGCTTCCTGTCACTGCAGCTGCCACAGCTAGTAAATTAAGGAGAGGGAAGAGAGATGGGGGGATATTGACAAGTAGGGGGGCAGGAGAAATACAGACACAGTGGGTTGACAGAGAAGGGTAGGGGTAGATTGTTGGAGGGGGGACAAAAGGGTGGGGGATAGGTTGACAGAAGGGGAAAGGTAAATTGATGGAGAAGTGGTGGGGGCATAAGAGATGGGGTGGGTTGGCAGATAAGGGGAAGGGAGAAAGAGGGTAGATTGATGGAGAAAGGGTGGGGATGAAAGGGGAGACTGTCAGAGAAGTAGAGGGGGAAGATTGACAGGAAGGGAGGGGGTGAGAAAAAGGGGGAAGATTATTAGAGAGAAGGGGGAAGAGGGAAGGATACAAAGGGAGGAAGGGATGCAACCTTCCAAAAGGAATCAAAGGGGGGAAGGGATGGAACCTTCCAATAAGTTTTTTGGGTGTCCCCATTTGTTGGTAGTTCAGCACTTCGGTGGGAAGGTAACAGCATTCCGTGCACCTTGGTGTCTAGTCATGCCAGCCATATGACCACAGAAACATCTTCGGACAGCACTGGCTCTTTGGCTTGGAAACGGAGATGAGCACCGTGCCCTAGAGTCGGATTCGACTGGTTTTCGAGCAAGGGAAACGTTTACCTTTACCTATTTGTTATATTTAATCCTGAACAATAGCAGAGTGTGGATCAAAAAAATCATAGTGAGGCCAAGTAGAGCCAAGCCACTCTGCAAATGGACAAAATCACCTTTTAGTAAGGTCTGCCTGAGGAGGTCAGAAATGCCCCCCCAACTATCATTTTGCAGAATGTGTAAAACAGAATTGCCCATGAGAGTATTTTTATAAAGAGATTATAACTGTAGTATAATGGCAAAGTTTAGGAAGTTGTTTAGAGGATTATAAACATTTGTTCTGTGTATCATCTTCCTTTTACTGCATTGTATTCTTCCTTTATACCCCACTTTCTGAATTATGACATGGCATGCCTAGACCGGTTTTTTCTTTTTGTCGTTTTTTGTTGTTTACACTGTTTTCCAGTTTTGCAGTCATAATTCTAGTGCAGTGTTCATTGGAGGTCCTTGCTGTTAAGTTATTTTTTAAAAAAATTGTAATCTACCTTGAGTCACAGTGAGAAAAGTGGGCTGTAAATAAAATGTACAGTTGGGGGTATTTTCTACCAGCCTGGGGGAAGACCCAGATGTTAGCTGGAAAACAGGAATAGTGGAGATAAGCAGTGATGTGGGGCAGAAAACTTTCTAATACTATCTTGTTACATGGTAAAATTTACAACCCACATATGTAAATATAACCTGTTTGTTTATAGTTGTTATGACTGTTGTGCTGAAAATCAATCATGTTAAATGGGTTAAGTGTGGAATATAAAGCATGGACCAACCCCATTGCTTGTATATGGTACAGGCTTGTACATAGTGTGTTTGCCTTCTTTTGCTAACATTATTTAAGTTTTACTAGCATTATTTAAATTATTTATTTAAATGTGAATAGGAAAATCTGCTGATTGATATTTTCCAACAATATCTAAAGAAGGAAAAGGGAGGACAGACTGTGTGGAAGGGGGGAACTGAAGATGCTGGTGGGACAGAAACATGTAGGTGAGTGAGTGAGAGGGAAGGAAAGGAGGTAGGCTTCAGGGGGTTTAGAAGGGAAAATGAGAGAGGGTGGTAGTGGGGAAATGAGACCCACATGGGTCATCTGCTTGTAAGTTTGCAGTTCTGTGGTGGTCACATTATCTTTATTTTGTTTTGGAGGATGGGTACTGTTGTACTGTACCTAAATCTCAGTAGCCTATAGCCTACATCTTTAGATTAAATGGATCTGTGTTTTAAGTCATTTCCTGCTGGTTTCATAACTGAAACTGAGATCCTCCATTTCTACAAACGTATTTCTTGTTGGTTTCTTTTATGCTT